GTTAATTGTTAACCAAATTAAGAGTCGTGGTGCTCCGAGGAATGAATTTATGAATTTTAGTAATTCATAAATGCTCATGATTAATATACCCAAAGTACCCCTACATCATCATTTACCCAGAAGGCTTTGTGTGTAAATAAAATGGCTCCTTCCATGTTAAAATATATTTTTAAAAAATTACAAAACTAATCAGCCTACAGTATTTTTACAGTCTATTTTACAGTTGAAATAAATGTTTATCAAATAAAGTCTAATGTCTAATCATGGACTAATAATGGATCCTATTAAAAAAAACATAAAATACAAATGTAAAATTTAAGACACATAGGACAAGCTGTGCAGGTGGGTTTTTAGCTTGGCTTTAAAAACGTCCACAGAGCAGGCCAGCCTGATGTCTTGAGGGAGATCATTCCACAATAATTTATGGACAGAATTTCTAGGTGCAGCCAAGGTGTTGAGGGGATCTATTTTGGTGATCTTAGGGTCACATCTCTGCCTTTTGTGGATGATGTGGTCCTACTGGCTTCATCAGGTTGTGATCTCCAGCTCTCACTGGAGCGGTTCACAGCTGAGTGTGAAGCAGCCGGGATGAGGATCAGTGTCCAAATCCAAGACCATGGTCTTGAGCCGGAAAAGGGTAGCGTGCCACCTCCAGGTCGGAGAGGAGGTTCTGCCCCAAGTGAAGGAGTTTAAKTATCTTGGGGTCTTGTTCACGAATGAGGGAAGAATGGAGCTGGAGAGAGATAGGCGAATTGGTGCTGCATCTGCAGTGATGTGGGTGCTGTACTGATCTGTCATGGTGAAGTGAGAGTTGAGCCAGAAGGCAAAGCTCTCGATTTACAGGTCARTCTAYGCTCCTACCCTCATCTATGGTCACGAGCTTTGGGTAGTGACCGAAAGAACAAGATTGCAGAAACAAGCTGCTGAAATGAGTTTCCTCTATAGGGATGTTTGGGCTCTGCTTTAGAGATAGAGTGAGAAACTCTGTCACCTGGGATGGACTCAAAGTAAAGCTGCTGCTCCTCCACATCGAAAAGATCCAATTGAGGTAGCTCRGGCTTCTGGTTAGGATGCCTCCTGGACACTTCCCTGCTGAGGTGTTCTGGGCACCAGGACACGTTGGAGGGATTATGTTTCTCATCTGGCCTGGGAACGCCTTGGGATTCCCTCAGAGGAGCTGGCCCAAGTGGCTGGGGAGRTCTAAGTCTGGGTCTCTCTGGGGGGCTGTTGTCCCTGTGACCGAACCTCGGATAAGCAGAAGAAAATGGATGGATGGACGGACAAACAGAGAGGAAAATGGGTATAGTAGTAGCCAAAAACAAGCGTTTGACAAATTCTGAATGCTAAATAAAAATCMCAGATAGCTGCCAGAGCTAATTTGAAACCGCAATAACTCTGCCATTTTGAGACATTTTGGAATGAAATTTGGTGTGGTGGTAGCTAAGGACGGTCCCCATCAAAACAAAAATCAAATCAAAAATCCAAGATGGCCACCATAGTATTACKTTACTATAACTCGACCATTTTAAGCCATATTTGGCTCAAATTTGGGATGGTAGTAAATCCCAAATGATCTCCAACACACTGTAAAATCAAAATTATCATGCATTGCACTTCTTTTATGCTTTATGCCCACCTTTATATCTGACCATTTAATCTCAGGTGTGCCCTAGTCTGATAAGGACGGACTYCCACACACCACCAGTGCTCTTTGTAGATGGCTAAAATATTGGAAGGCAGTGTGCAAGATACATTTGTAYTCCTTTTTACCTTATTTGGTAGCATTTCAGACTCACATTTTACAAAATACCTCCTTTTCTTGCATCTAGACATTATTTTTGAWAGTAACAAGAGGAGAATCACACAAGTATGTTATACAGTGGCGGGAATAAGTATTTTATCCCTTGCYGAGTTTGCAAGTTTGCCCATTTACAAAGACATGAACCATTTATAATTTTAGGGTTAGGTTAATTTTAACAGTGATAGACAGAATATAAAAAAATCAGAAAATCACATTGTTTAAAATATATTAATTTATTTGCATTTTGCGGAGAGCAGTAAGTATTTGATCCCTCTGGCAAACAAGACTTGAAACTTAGTGGCAAAACCCTTGTTAGCAAGCACAGCAGTCACACTTTTTTTGTATTTGATGATGAGGTTTGCATACACGTCCTCCTTGTAGATCATCTCTAAATCATTAAGATTTTCAGGCTGTCACTGGGCAACTCTTGAGTTTCAGCTCCCTCKGTAGGTTTTTGATGGTATTAAKRTCTGGAGACTAGCTARGCCATTCCAYGACCTTMATGTACTTCTTTTTGAGGCACTCCTTTGTTGTCTTACACATTTAGAACAAACTGCAATTTATTGTATGTTCTTATGGAGTCTAGACAAAAGTTCAACTCTGGAAGACTAATCTACTTCATCTGCTCAAATCAGCTCCCACGTCATGAGCCCAGCCACATCCGATCAGCATCTGACAGTCAGTGGATCAGTGCTGGCTCTAGCCATTTTGGTGCCCTAGGCGAGTTGAAGCGCAACCCCTCCACCCTACTCGGGACTATGTCCCACCCACCCCAATTTGAACCCATAAAAACAAGTTTGACAGTGTAAGGTACTATGGTAAACTTAGATACTGTACATACATGTCAACTTGTACAGATTGTCTGTAAGTTATAAGAATTTTATGTCATTTTGCAGGTATACGGACATATAGGGCAATCTCACGGATTTTTTCAAAACCTCTTTTTAAACTTATCTAACATGTCAGAGCCTGTAGGATGA